CTTGCCAATTACGTCCCGGCAAAAACTACCTGAAGGGGTTCTCCAAGCGGAGTGAAGCGGTAGTGGTTTTATGTTCCGAGCGAATAAAGGATGGCTTAATAAAACCGCACACTCACCCTGCGAAGAAGAAGTTAATGCTCTAAAGAGGTTTTTTGTAAGCAATCGCGAATAATTCAGTTGGATATTCCAAACAAAACACAGGGAATGTCTATGAAGAGTGTTATTTAATACGTTCAAGCAGCTAATCTCGAATATATACAGGATACTGAGAACAGTATAAGTCCGAGCCACAGGTTCTAATAAAATTTACCCGTAACTATTTCAATATACAAGCGACATCGTATGGCGAGCGCGTTTATGTAGTGTACATCAACTTCCAATGGCTTGCAACAGTTTATCCTCAAATTATTATACTCTCGGATAGCGCCGGACAACCGCACACAACCGACGCCGAACGCAATTCGTGTACCCGCGTAATCCCCTACTGATATGCAAGGTAGGCCACGAAGCGAGATAACTACGGGTGCGGGGTAACCGCCGAATAGCGGAGAAATCCCGAAAATGCCGCTGGAATTCTCCCAGTCGGAATTTCGGCCCCGCGAGCCGGAGTTTTAGCGTGGAGAAGTTATGGGCATTCGGATAATTCCGGAGTAATGATCTCGCGGCTATACACCTTGTCGGCTTACTATATCGGAGTTGCGGATGAATCCGCCAGGCGCGGGCAAAAAAAGTTACAGGAGGAGAAAGAGAAGCAGAGTCGTCCTGAGTAATGTCGTGAAAGCTTTCAGCTGTCGCTCGGTCGTGATAAATTGCCGTGAATGGCGAAGGCGAGATGGTTAGTCAAGTTGATCTTCGAGGTATCTCGTCTTCGCACTAAAGGATGCTGCTTATCTATCCTCTAAGATGTTGCACTGTGAGACAGTCCCGCGAGTATTTCCTTACGGATATTAATGACGGCTTTACGATGCCACTTTACGAGGACGATATGTCGACGATTGTCCGTGGAAAGCGTTGACCACATGCGAGACGCGCGTTTTATTAATACAAGGTAGTAATTCGAGTGTCACATCAATTGAAAATATGTTTATGATATTCGAGTAATATACTGAATTGAAATACACTATCACAAAAATACACCGTGGATTAGAGGTTAAGAAGAGGTTAAGAAGACTGACAATTTTACCTATTGAGAAGCGCACTCTTGCAGCAATGTTTTACTTTACAACTGCAACTTCATACCGACGCTCGAAGATTCACGACGTTCATGACTAATGCTCAACACGACGCGACAAACGCGATTAACTTTACGAATGCCGAAAGACTAATAATCGCGCGCGTGCAAGCTAAATAACACTCCACGACGATCGTCTGTTGCTTGATTCAACATTTCTAACATTTATAGGGCGCGGATTCACTTCGAACAAAAAAAACACACGAAACACCAAACGATGCACGAACAAGTCCAATACTTCCGCCATTATCCCGCGCTGTAATATACGCGCGAAATAGATACGTGACGTCACATGACATCATGCTCACGCGAGTGCGTTAAATTTTCAAACTAATACACAGCAAATATAAAAGTTGTTAAATCGTGCATTAGTCAATTATATTACATATTATGTATCTTTAGTCTATTATATATTATTTTTCTATGCATCTTAGAGAATGGGAGTAAATAATGCAAACACATTAGTCGTTCATCTGACAGCGTCGTTCATGTGACGTCACGTATCTATTTCGTTGCGTATATTACAGCGCGGGATAATGGCGTGAGTATCGGACGCGTCTGTGTATCGTTCGATGTTTCGTGCGTGTTTTTTTTTTGTTCAAAGTGAATTCTGCGCGCTATAAATGTTAAAAATGTTGAATCCAGCAACAGACGATCGTCGTGGAGTGTTATTCAGCTTGCACGCGCACGATTATTAGTCTTTCGGCATTCGTAAAGTTAACTGCGTTTGTCGCGTCGTGTTGAGCATTAGTCGTGAATTTTCGAGCGTCGATATGAAGTTGCAGTTGTAAAGTAAAACATTGCTGCAAGGGTGCGCTTCTCAACAGGTAAAATTATTAGCACTCTTCTTAATTTCTAATCCACAGTGTATATTTTGATAATGCGGAACCAACGAATTTCAATGATAAAATATTCGTATATCAGCCGGTGAGTAAGTTGAATGCGTCGCACTACTTGGCATTTGCGCCGAGCGTTACTGAACATTTAGTGGGAAACAGCGACAGACAGAGAGAGAGGGAGAAATAATCGTAGTTCTCTATTACTACCTCTCAGTCAAATTTTCATGATGTTATTACAAACGATCACGCAGGACACCGTTAATATTTTCGTTAAAATCTATACATAACTGTTTTATTTTTAGCTATAACAAAAATATGAATACCGTATTCCTTCGATTTTTTATTCAGTTATAAAAATAGTTTGTCTGCGTAAATGAACGATTAATGTGTTCTGCATTATTTACTCCCATTCTCTAAGATGCATAGTAAAATAATATATAATAGACTAAAGGTACATAATACGTAATATAATTGACTAGTGCACGATTTAACAATTTTCAATTTGCTGTGTATTAGTTTGAAAATTTAACGCACTCGCGTGAACATGACGTCATGTGACGTCACGTATCTATTTCGCGCGTATATTACAGCGCGGGATAATGGCGGAAGTATCGGACTTGTTCGTGCATCGTTTGGTGTTTTGTGCGTGCTTGTTTTCGTTTGAAGTGAATTTTGCGCGCTATAAATGTTAGGAATGTTGAATCGGGCAACAGACGATCGTCGTAAAGTGTTATTTAGCTTGCACGCGCGCGATTATTAGTCTTTCGGCATTCGTAAAGTTAACCGCGTTTGTCGCGTCGTGTTGAGCATTAGTCGTGAACGAACGTGAAGCTTTGAGCGTCGGTATGAAGTTGCAGTTGTAAAGTAAAATATTTCTGCAAGGGTGCGCTTCTCAACAGGTAAAATTATTAGCGCTCTTTTTAACCTCTTCTTAACCTCTAATCCACAGTGTATTTTTGTGATAATGCGGAACCAACGAATTGCAATGATAAAATATTCGCATATTAAGTGAGTAAATTGAACACTTCGCGCTGCTTGGTATTGGCGCCGAACACTGAACATTTAGCGAGAAACAACAATAGAGAAAGAGAGGGAGAAATAATCGTATATATATAGTTCTCTATTACTACCTCTCGGTCAAATTTTCGTGATGTTTATTACAATCTGTCACACGGGACATCATTAATATTTTCGTCAAGATCTATACATAACTGTTTTTTTTCTAGCTGGACAAAACAAAAATATGAATACCGTTTTCTATTTTGTCCACATTCTATTCACATGTATCACACAATTTCTATACATTTTTGTAATCTCAATCATCTGTTTGTAACGGGAAAAATTATGATTAAAATAATGTGTAATTTTTAATGCCACATTCTCTTTCATAGGTAAGATCATGGAAGGTAACAGCGTATGATGTGCATATGACTTCCAAAGTCGAGTTTCTGTAACAAGATATACATGTGAAGCGTATATTGAATGTGCACCACCTGTCCAGTATATTATTTGGCCTGAAGCTTCAAAATAACATAATGCTTGGTATAGTCGAGACAGCATTGTTCGAGACAATTGCGGCCAGCCGAGATCTGATGGTCAGCGAATTAACAACCGTTTTGGTGAGTATTGTTATTGCATGCCAAATATTTCTCAATGGAATAGATATGTATGCGTCGTACTCGAGAAACTGTAAATATGCGCTAATATATATACATAAACAGCTTTGACGAATCACCGGCAAACGAGTGCTTCTTTTTGTTTGTTATTTTTTGTGCTCGCACTGACTGGACAGTTTCCGTCTGTAACACTGCCGTAATGTGAAATAATAAATTAATGATTAAGCGACATGAACTGATACATTCGATTCGTGCGTTTATGCATGCGGAGTAATCCGTTAAGCTCTAAATTCGAAAAAATTATTTAGTTTAAATACTGCAACGTTAAATTAGATTTAATACGCAATATATTTATATTTGAGAAACAATACAACTAGAGAAATCTAATAATTTATGGATAAATTAGAATATACGTTTATTGAGTGCTGCAAGAATCGAAATTCAGAACATTGATATTTACAATGCACTGTAATCCACGTAATCTCTCTGCACATCATTTATAAATGACCATCGTGTTTTCCCTGATGCACATATCCTCCCAGTTTTAACAATTCAATAACACACGCACGTATTTTTCCGAAAACGCGCTTGTCTAAATAAACCAATGCAGCCGAACGGTAAATAATATTTTAATTCGAGCAACCCAACATCTCGGTAGCAAACGCTATGTAATAAATTCAATGTTGAAATTATTCCCATATATTCGATACGTGGAATACAAATATATCGATGTGGAAAATGAACGGAATGCCAAAAATTTAATCACTTAAATCAAGCGTTCTGTTTTTTTAGCAATAAAAAAAATACAGGCAGTTTTTAGCGCTTATAACATTTTTGATTTACCAATAATCTATGATTATAATTTGATCTTCAAGATTTCACATCAATATTATATTTTGAAATATTTCAAGTTAAACATAATACAAATTGTTGAAATACCAACTTACTTTGAAATTGGGGAAGTTAAAATACATGTTTTAGAGTAAGCTGCTTGCTTCGTTTAAATCAATAAAATCAATTGCAGATTCTCATTTAACTTCGTAAATGTACCAAAAAGCCATTAGCCAAGCGAGAGAGAACATTTCAAATTTCACCACATACGATATATGCTTTACTAAACATATTAATAGTAATAAAATTGAATATAATAAATAATGAAATAATTAAGTTAACTGTCGCAATAATTTTTATGTTACAAATTAGAAACGCTTTATATTTAATTCTTATCTAAAAAAAACTCTTTTCAAGCTTTTTTAATAATAAAATTTATATATTTTTATCTGTTTTCTAAAAATTAAAATATGTATAGTTTTTATAATTTTTATAATCTTTTTGTTAACTTATTCAACTGAACTGAGATGGGTTTAAAAAAAAATATATAGTCGAATTTTTAAAAAACAAAGCTATTGCGTCACATACATCACAGTATCGCCATGAAAAGCGCTAACTATATTTTTTACTATCCATCGAAAGGATTTTAACGGCTGTCTATACGCATGGCTGAACTACTGATGCACAAAATCATCGCGTACGTGACACGCGCAATACATTTTGATTTGCCATGAATTAGATTTATATTGCTGCGGAAAAAACAACTGTTTCTTTATATTAAAATAAGCGTTTTAGAACTATTTAGTCTCCAAGATAAATTCTTAAAACTTTTTATTTCGAATCTTTAATCAGTTAATCAGACCTTGATTTATAATATAAGTTTGTGGCATTAATGAGCAACAGAGGCTAAATGAGTGCATTATACAAGATAGTAGATATTTAACACAAAGGCAATTAACGATCTGTGTACGCGTATAATCATCCGACCATAATTCGCGCGGTTCTATCGTTGGTAGTCGCTGATAGCATTTAGGAGAAAACGTAAAGGCAGCTCTATGCGCGGTTTTCCCATGAGCCCTCTGCTTCCGCGAATGTTTTAGGCGTGATCCTCCGGCGTACTCTGGGGTAGGATAATCCTGCATAATATGGGGGCTTGCGAACCTTTAAAATCCAAGTATCTGGCACACCCGTGAATAATTCGCTGCACGCGAGCGTCGTTAAGTTGCATCGGGAATCTAATGGTTTCTGTACAGCAAAAGCTGTCGTCGTTGTTGGTGAAAATCGTTTGAGATTATGAGGAAAAATACGCATCTAGACTGATTTTCTCTTATAACATGTATTTGTACTATGAAGACTTCGTTATACTAATCTAGTAAATATTTATAAAGAAAGTATTTAATTCAATCTAGTCGGAGAACTACACTTAATATTTGAAAAAAAAAATTACAGAATAATTCTTTGGAAAGCAGAAGGCTAAATCAATTAATTTATTTTTTAACAATCAAAAACTTAACTATCAACCTCACTTAGCACTGGCTATATTCTTGCGAATTATTTAGGGTGTGTCATCGATTTTTCATAAGATGTGGCGCGCCACGTGCTTTATCAGCATATTATTATCATTTCCTCGCAATTGACCCCTCAACGGTACTAATCCTTCTTAAAGTACTTCGAAAGAGTCTCGTGGGGCCGCTAAAATTAGGATGTTTTAAAGGGGAGGAGAGTAGTATCGCAAAATCGCTTCCTACGGGATCGTTCAATTTTACCGCGGTCATCCATTACGCTTTCTACATTAAAACGTACTCGCCAGTTTAATACGTACCATTCAACAATTGCCGCACTAAAAGCCACCGACAGAACGTGGCTTTTAAAGGTGGCTACAACATTAAAAGGAGAGGGAGAAAGAAACGAGGCGCTCTTTCACTTCACCGACTGTGAAAAACATTCTTTTGTGCACTTCTTCATCGTATATACGTAAATTTTGTTCTCGAACTATTCATGGGTTAAATTCAGGAGTGAAATAAATAGAGGGGACAGTAAAGCTAACGTGACTTTTACAATATAATTTTCGTTTTTGTTGGAAAGAAAGGGAGTAATTAAATTTATCAAAGATTTCGCGAACAAAAAGAAATCCGGAAAACTTGGTACACCTCGGAAGTGCCTTTTTGCTTTATCGAGATTGAAATCGTCGAAGAACGAGGCATGAAAGTGTTCACAATAGTCTTAAGAATAACACAGTCGGTACGTTAAAGAGCAAGACCGAGATTCGAGCGTTTGCGCCGACACTAATTAATTCGTTATAAAATCAATAGAGCTTTTCGTCTAGTATTCGTTCCATTTGCACGGCATTTCGTGCCGTTCCGAGACTTAATCCGATTTCTCTTCTTCATTTCATTCTTCTTCAATCTCTCGGGCGTCGTTTCGGAGTTAAATTACAGATTACGCAAAGATAAACGACGGCGACTGAATCAATGGTTGCATTACTATACTTCTCGCCGTTTCGGATTGTCCGCGGATCATCGTCTGATTATCGTATCGCTGCTGTTGTTTTCATTTATTTAGATCCATTTCCCGTTTGATAGAAATTCTCAAATGCATCGTATAATGATAAGATCCGAGGAACAAATACTGGAAAATAGCGTTTCCATTTTCTATCTTGGAATTTCTATTTCAATTTCCATAAAATTTTCGTTGCCTTTTGGCACTATACCGTATTATCTTTAACAGTTCGCGGTATTTCTTTCCTGCAGACTTCAAAACATGCTAATATTTTTTTACTCCTTTGAATATGATGTTTACTAAGATAGAAAAATTAAAATTTACACAAAAGAAGACTGAATAATGACCTCAACGCCAAATGTCCTGTGATTAATCACTAACTTAATGGAAATGATGATAAGATAGATGTAGCATTAAATGTTCAAACTTTACGACATGTTCTTTTTGGGCTTCAATGTAGTAAGAATAAGTGATGGTAATGGATGTAAAAATCCGATTAAAGTCGAGAATATGTTAAAAGCGACTGTGCGAGCGCGAACTACTTAAGCGCAAAGCGGAAGTTTCATTTGATGAGGACACGTAAAGTGTTTATGCCGCGAGAAGACCTCTCCCAATCGCTTCTTTGAATTTCAAGTCTCTCAAAGGGTCAGCTTCCGGTTAGCGGTCTATCCAATCGAATTTGGACCCGAGGCATGAGGTTTCAGTCGTGGTATTAGGTTAACCGTGCACCTATTTGGTTTTATTGCATCAAAGAATCGATAATTCACAAACGAAAAAAAGCAACTGAAAGTATTGCTATATCGAGTTCGCACATGAGGTTTATGGTAGTCTGGAAATCAATAAACTGATATTCTCCAGATCAATATAAATGATTTTTCCACCTTGATATAATTGTTTTAATATTCAGAAACCAATTGTATTATCTATTAATATCAGATTCCTGAAGATCCTTTGGAAACGAAATCTTTATACTAAAATATCGAGGCTACAATAGTTTTTAAATGGTAGGTGTTTAAAGTTGATCAATCATATTGTTAAAAATTCAGTGTTTAGGCATATCGCATATTGATTTTTATATCCTTACTACTTATATGTAGTAAGGATTTCTCATATTTGTAGAAATTTACTATTTATTAACAGATGATACGCTTAGTCTGCGACACATTGTACATTTCACATTAATTTGAAATCAATTCTTTCAATGACATTCCAGAACATTTCTTTCTTTAAAACATAAAATTTTAAAGCATCACAATAAAAAATGTGAGTTTTAAAATCATATAAATGTTATTTTACGCGTTTCGAATTTTTCACCGATTTAAGTCTTATGTTTTTTGATTGAGAAATTTGATTGAAATGACATAGATAAAGTAATTCAAATAATGAAAGATCATAATAAATCAATGTTTATCAAGAAATGAATTAATGCAATGTAACCATTTTTAGTTTGCAAATTTTAATTTTGTCGATATAGTTTTCTGCATAAAATAAGATACAAAAGAATACAAAAATTGCACTCCTAGAATTAATGGAAAATTTTTTATTTCTTATAGAAAAATAAAAATAATTAAATGTGTCGCGGCACAAAGCACGTTTAACTTGTATTCGTTTCACGTACCGTAGCGTGTCAAATTCGTGATGTAAATTCGCATAAAGTATACGGGTTAATTTTCTTTCGATAGTCGGTTTCGAAACAGAGCAATTATCAAACATTTATTTATTCGAAACCGACTCGTAGCATGAGGTTGTTTTCGTCGTTACGTTTAGTATGCGCACACATCCTCTTTCTCTCTCTCTCGCGCGCGCGTTCGTGTATCAGCGTAAACATTGTTGCCCCCACTTCTCGCATTCCTTTAAGTCGGAATCGGCGCGACCTTGTGTTTCCTATTGTGCCATTATTATTCGCACGGCGGCACTCATACGAAAGGTAAATCGGCGTATCGGCGCGTTATTATCTTCAATAATACCCTTACTATTTCTCACAGATTTCCATGTCATGCTTTTCCGTCTTAATCTGTCGCACAGAGTGTCAAACACGTAATATTTGAGTTACATCTTTGTCTTAAAATGACAAAGTACACGTCGGGAATCTCGTTTAAAATATCGGGCGATTTTCATATACGCGACGCGAACGCGAGTGAGTGCCTTGGACTGCGAGAACCAAGAAGAAGAGGGGGCTCAAAAAAGAGCATCGAGCGCGGGGGGGACAACGTTTGCGTAATTAATCATTTATTTCTTATTTCTTACTTACATAAATATTGCACATAAAATATTAATATAATGTAGCGCACATAAAATATTTAAAATACTTTAAATATATAGTAAAATATTTACAATAGTTAATATTCACTATTCTTAGAAATATTTTACATATTTATTATTATTCAACTAATTAAACTTTTTTCTTTATTCAAAAATATATTTTTGAATATTTTAATTCTTTGTTTAGACGTGTGCATAAATAAACGAATATAAAGTTTAATGTGCGCAGTAATTATTTTATAAATATTAATTATTTCAAACACTAATCTGCATTTATTTTTTTATTTTACAGATCAACTTTGTGCGCGTAATCGGTGCTACAAAATATATTCGTTCCGTCGTATAGTATAACAAAATGCGCGTCGGGAGTGCCGTTAATGCCGAGAGTTATAGCGAATCTATAGATGAACGCATTTTTGCTGTATGACAAATATTGGGACACGATTTTTTTTTACTTTAGGCTTGGCTCGGGGGAGGGAAAGGTCGGTTTCAATCATAAAATCTCCACTACGGCAGGGCAATCTTCGGTTCTACGTGCAGCGCGCTAGTTGTACAGATAGCCGGACTGTCGAAGGTAGTCGAGGACGGCTACCGGAGTTAGTCAAACGCTACCGATTGCTTTTCAGATGTCTTGTATCTAGTCGGTTGATTGGATGACTAATCACCTCATCTTCTTCGAGCTTATCTTTGCCTTCTGTTTTGAGAGAATCGTGCCCCAATTGGTAAATGTGGTCGTCTGAAACGCGGACGGAATTCGCGCGTAACGTCACAGCTTGGACAATTCGGTTCGATTCGCCTGTGATGTCGGGAGTGCCGTTTTAAGTATCGCGCGATTTTCGTATTCAGGTACGCATGTGAGCAATGCATGCGCCGCGAACGCGTGTGATTCAATGTGAGTGCTTCGAAGGACCACTGAGAGGAGGAGGAGGCTCAGGAGGAGCATCGGGCGCCGGCGGAGCAACTTTACGGTAAGCAATAATTCATTTATTTGTTATTCGCAAAATATTGCATATAAAATATTATATATAATGTAGCGGATATAAAATATTTTAAATATTTTAAATATTTAGTAAAATATTTACAATAGTTGATATTCACCATTCTTAGAAATATTTTACATATTTATTATTATTCAACTAATTAAATTTTTTTCTTTCAAAAAATTATATTTAAAGAAATTTAAATTCTGTATGCATAGATAAACGAATATAAAATTCAATGTGCGCAATAATTATTTCATAAATATTAATCATTTTGAACAGTACTCTAATCTGGATTTACTTTTTTATTTTACAGATCAACTTTGCAAATCAACAACACCGCCAAAGAACACCAACTTCGCTGCTGTGCTTCGTACGGTGAGTAAATTCAATTTGTTTTATTTTAATATTATTGAAAAAATAGATTTCAAGTAAAATATACAAGGTATCGCAAACTAACCATATCAACCGTTAATAGCAAATTTCTGAGGTTTCTCATATGACAATGACATAAAAATCAATATGCAACGTGCCTGAGCGCGTAAAGTTTTGACAATCTGATTAATCAACATAAAATATTTTGCATTTAAAAATTAGCCTCAACGTTTTGATGTAAAGATTTTCGTCTCCAAATGACTTCAGGAATCTGCTATTAATAGGTGATACGGTAGTGGAACATCCTGTATACGTATATTGTTAAATTATTGTTTATTATTAGATTTTAATTTAAATGAAGTTAAGTGAATAATAAAATCCATTCGTTATTTATTCGTTATTTATTTGCTTTTTAAAATTTTATGTTTGAAAATCGTTATAATTAACATTGCGCTCATGAGTTGCAATTTACTTACGTTTTGAATTATAAACACTTTCAAATATGTATGCCGTAGTGACTCAGTGCAGAAGTACAAATTTTTATTTCGTGAATTGGTAAAGTAAAAATATTAAGTTAGTGGATCTGCCACGCAAAAAGAGCAGCCGTGAAAATAAGAAGGGTAGAGTTCATTTGCAGAAACGAACAAACCATCCCCGATGTTATCTCCGAGTTCTACAGAATATACTGTCACGGCACGCTTTAACCAACTTTCTGACTTTAATCGACTTCACGGGGATTCCGCGTTTTCCATTTATCGTCTTTCCCTTCTGATACATTGGAAGCTTAAACAAGTATAAAGCATACGTTTTCATCTAGTTTTTGTAACTCAGAATTATTAATGCTTGTCACGTTGAATTTTAATTTATACGGTTAAGTAAGAGATTAATATTTCGAATAAGTTGTTCTCTTTCACTTTCTTCGCTGGTCTTCGCGTGGGTAAAGATTCGAGACATTGATATTCCGCTGGTATTGTTAATGTTTCTTGACAGTGGCACTGTTATAATCTACATTGACCTCACAATCCTCCTCTTTAACACGTAGTGTTAGTACTACATTGAAATCCACGAAGCGTTAAACGTACAGATTTACGAGTAGAGGCAAAGCATTTACGAAGCTCTGTTAAACCTTTGGCTAGTTTCGCACAGTTGACAACTATTGTGGATTAAGTGTAATGAAAAGGTTTCTCTCAGCTGCTGAAATTGTAAATCTTAGAAATCTTATTGTTTCACGAAGAAAAAACAAGACTTTTCGATACAATTACATTATTTATTTTTTCCTAATTCATTATTTTAACTGCAAATTCATTAAAACCTTAAATATACATTATTTATATAATAATCACAAATAATGTTTATTTGATATTTTTCACAAGATTACTGATGATGTATCATAAAATTATGATAATATTTAAAACAAAATATTTATTATCAAATCGTAGATACAAATATAAGTGAAATAAATATTATATATTGATATTTTCTAAACGGTATTGTTATGTACATTTTTATATTTCTGCCGCCGTAACTTAGGTACGCGACTACGAGAAGCGAAGATTAGCAATAAGCTGAAACAATATTTTCTCGAAGACCGATAAAATATCCAGGAGCTTGGAGAAAAATATTACGTTGCTTGAGGTAAAAACGACGGCTAAAAAGAAAAATGTGTGCAACTAATATCGTGCCAAACATTGGGGGAACTTGTATGGCATCAAGGAAAATGGATTGCCGATATTATTCTTCGCGTAACGGATTATTATTCTATTTTTTTAGATGATAATTTCTCGACTAAAAGAATAGCAGTAATTTATTGAATTAATTTTCATAATAAATTGCAATACCATGTCTCGTGATATTTTTCAAACGCTTGAGTCTTATAAAATAACGTTTTTAACTCTAGATTGAATGATTTTTGTAAACCGCAATCAAGTTAAACCACAAACTTATTCGTGGGCTGGTAACCTCTTTGACTGCTTTGAAAAATAAAGGCGTCACGAAAGCATGGGAATAAAAACGAGAAGAGTCAGGAAAGTCAGAAGTTTGGTTGTTTAGAGTCGCAAAGAAACATAGCGTTACGTAAATATATGCAAATGGCGCAGCGAACCCACGGAGAATGTCGGGTAGTATTGGTAGCGAAAAGTCGATGGGGCTGCTTGGTGGTAGCTTCTGCTACTTGTAAACATTGATATAGCACCCCACAAGACACGCAAGTTTCGCTCTGTGTCGACTGTCTCGTTTTGACGACGTTTACATTTCTCTTTTGCGTTTCTACGCTAGTGCAATTTCTATCTAAATTGGATAATTATTTAATTTGTGATAATTATAATTATATAATTTTGTAAACTGTTTCATAATTTAATTAATCATCGTACTTATCGCAATAAACGCAAGAGTGAAATGGTTGAATAATTAGTAAAACGTTAATAATCTTCAAAGAGCGTTCGGTATCCTGAATTATCCGCCGTCATTACGTATTTTAAAACACGTCTTTTTTATTTTTGAAATTAGTCCACGATGTATCGAAAGTTTCGTATTGCAAACTTCTTGTCGGTCCGTTCGCCGTTTCGTTATATGGAAGTTATAGTAAATGTGAGTAGGTCAGTGCTGTGCGCGGAAAAGGCGCCGGACGCGTTTCCGCCAGAAAACGGAATTCTTTTCGCTCGCGCGGTTCCAAAGAGCCGTCACTTCTTTTTTCAAAATAAATGACACCATTCCCGATGAGAGCCGCGTGGCCTGAAATCGCCGTGGTGGAGATATGTATGTGCACGACTCGCGATTTCTAGCTCCAAACGCGCACCCGGCAATGGAACGGTCGTTTTGTAGATGGCAACAATGAAATACCAGCCCGTATTACAGGTATCATAAGTTAGGGATGTGGGCACAGGGGATTGCGGTATTCCTTGGAACAACCGAGAATTGGCTTCAACATACCGCGCATTCTCGTGCTCGTCTCGGTGATCATCGCGAGAATGTGTGTACAAACCGATTTCATTTTTCGCAACATTGTTCACCTGATATCTTTAGAATATAAACGAGCGTTATCTTTATTACCATAACGCAATAAGAGTGGCTCAAGTAGAAATAGCGGAGGGGATAACAGCAATTCTGGAGAAAGGAAATAGTTTGCTAGAACATGCGCTGATGAAGGGACGAGCGAAATTGTCGTCTGACAGCTTTACGGTCGTTTTTGCAACATAAGTTTCCGCCAAGGTACCTCCCGGCGACCACGACGTTTCTTTGAAGTCGCTAATGTGACCTGCGTCCTTATTTAATCATATGCATGCCGGCTCGCTTTATGACGACTAGTCTCATAAATGCGTTTTACCTGTACGACGCTTCATATTTCGAATTTTATCATGTATGGCATATATTATTCACATGAAAGTTAACAGCGTCCACTTTTGTCTTTATTATTTCTTAGACATACTTTAGAAAGATATGGAACTGAATTAAATATAGTGCACGTTTAGAAATATTATAAATTTCAAGACAATGAGTTGACGAAAGATTTCTATAGAATATGCATATTGCGTAGAAGTTGAAGCAAGAGTCAAGTTTAATTAACTGGAAATATGCTTTTCGCGAACCTCGCTAATTAGTTCTTCAGACGTTTGTCTTATAGATAAGAAAACGATGCTCTGCGATGCTTCATCGGAAATGATAGTGACGTAACTCGCGTCCTTACTGTTTAATTTGCATTTACTCGTACAGAAGATTCAGTTCACCGTACCGGGCAAATGTTTTTACGTCAGTTATCAAAGGGAACGTTCTAATTGTGTCAGCGTTCATTTACGACGCGTTCGTTACGGTGATATCCGCTTTCTCAATGCACAGCGTCGCGTAATGCTATTACATAACCACTCGCTCCTTCGCGGCATTCGCATTATCGTTTTTCATTTCCCGCCTTTCGCGGTGCACAGTCATCGTACCACCCGTCCTGTCGCTCCTGTCGGGAGACAGCGGCGCGAATAAATAACG